ATAATCCATATCTATGTAGTAAAATTGACTAAAGTTTAATATATATCACTAAAATGACAGGCACAAAATAATTCCATATTTATCCAAATGTTTGTCACTTGTAGAGGCATTTAGAGTTCTTGTATTTTAAAAATTAGAAAAAATGAAGTATTTTTGTAGATGAAGTGTAAACACCTGAATCCCATTCCGATTGAGAATCATTGTCTCTGTCGAAACGTCCAGATGAGTGAGAATCCCATTTTCCATGAGTTCCCCGTGAAAAGTTATTCATATTCCCTCTGGTTGGAGGGGATGAACTGTACTCATTGCGTCTGAAACTATGCGTTGGTAGAGCATCAGTACTTCTATGTCGATCCACTGAAGCATCTTCAAATTCACTATTTTCGATGCAGAAAAGCAAGGCACGCAAGACATAGAGCTTAGATACATATAAGATGGCTAAAATATTTTAAACACATATATAAATATTTTAAGTGATAATTTTTTTAAACGACCAAACAATTTAGAAATCCCATTCAAATCTTAAAAATAAGATTTTAAAAATAAAATAAAATCAAAACGAGAATTATCTTTTTAAAATTATAAATAATATTATAAACTAATAAGTATATTAATAAATATTTCAACTAGAATTTAACTTCAACATGTATGTATAAGTATTATTTTTGTAAATATTTTTATAGGATTTGTCTATTTATAAAGTTTTCACGCGGGATTAATTTTAACGCATGTCAACTTACACTAATTGATAAATGATTATATTTATAATTTTACATATTAAAATAGATTTACAATTAGGAGACCTTTAAAATTTTAAGACAATGTGTTAAAAATCTGATTGAATTTAATACTCAAACTTTGATACTCATTCTTATTAATATATATTTTTAATAATATATTTGTATCTCTCATTAGAACATACTTATAGATTTTTTTTAAGAGTTAATATAATAATATGAAAGAAAGGTAACTTAGTGAAAATGTTATAAAACTTTAAAATTAATAAGTTAGACAAGATTAAATTAGATTGTCAAAAAATTGTTTAAATCTAATAAAAGAATAAAAGAAGATGTCAAAGGGAGAACATACGACCTTCTTTATCATGACTACTCCTTATATTTTTGAGATCCTGTGTTGTGATAGTGACACAGGGCCGGGGCTGAACACATAACATTTTAAGTGATAATAGTTTTAAACACATATATAATATTTAACACATATAATACTTCAACTCATGATAATATTTTAAGTGATAACATTTTTTCCTCAACACCTTTTTTTATGATATTTTTTCTAAACACCTTTAGTTAATAATTTTTTTTTATGATATAGTCAGGATGAACACTTCTATTATGTTTTGAAGTATACCCTTATAGACTTATAGTAATATATAATTTATTTCATTTTAGAAAACTAAACATGATAAAGAAGGATTGGGTGGAGTTGCCTCCACACAGTCAAGATTATAAGGATGGTGTCAATTACTTTTTGGATATTGCGTTTACTAAAGGAATGGTTGAAGAAGAAGAGATTTTGTGTCCTTGTACTGTATGTTGTAATGATAGTTGGGAAGTAAGAGATGTAGTGTTTGACCATTTATGTGGCAAAGGATTTGTAAAGGGATACACTGAATGGATTTATCATGGTGAAGATGAAAGCCTTAAGGATCTTGATGACGATAGTGATAATGAAACATCATCTCATGATGATATCGATGGCTTGCTATTTGAGACATTTAAAGATGTGGCTGAAGGAGGTGGAGTACATGAAGGTCTAAATGAAGATGCAAAGAAATTTTATAAACTACTTGATGATGCAAAGCAAGAGTTGTATCCTGGTTGTGAAAATTTTTCGTCGTTATCATTCACTATTCGAATTTATTTGTTGAAATGTCTCCATGGATAGAGAAATGCATCGTTCACTACTCTCTTAGAGTTGTTGAAAGAGGCTATGCCTGATTTGAACATCCCTGTCTCTTTCAATAAAACAAAATCTATGATTAAAGATTTGGGCTTAGACTATAAAAAGATTGATGCATGTCCCAACAATTGCATGTTATTTTGGAAAGATCATGGGAAAGATGATTCATGTCATATTTGTGGAGCATCAAGGTGGATTGAATATCCTGAATTTGCTAATGATCTTGAAGAGTCTATAAAAGCTCACAAGGTTTCTGCCAAAGTTCTAAGACATTTTCCTTTGATTCCAAAATTGAAAAGACTTTTTATGTGTTCAAAGACAGCCGACACATTGAGGTGGCATGCAGACCATCGTTCAAGGGATGGGAAGTTAAGGCATCCGGCCGATGCCAAGCATGGAAAGACTTTGATTCCAAACATTCATATTTTTCTCTTGAAACTCATAACATTAGACTTGGGTTGGCAAGTGACGGGTTTAATCCATTTAGGACTATGAGTTTATCACATAGCACATGGCCTATTGTATTAATAATATATAACTATCCTCCAAATTTGTGCATGAAGGTTGAAAACTGTTTAATGTCGTTACTTATTCTTGGACCAAAGTCACCCGGAAATGAAATTGATGTGTATTTGCAGCCACTAATTGAGGAGCTTAAGATATTGTGGGATGTCGGTGTAGAAACATATGATATATCAAAAAAATAAATCATTTCAAATGCGTGCAGCTCTTATGTGGACTGTGAATGACTTCCCTGCATATGTTATGTTATTCGGTTGGAGCACTAAAGGGAAGTTTGCTTGCCCTGCTTGTAATCATAAAACTTCTTCAAGATACTTAAAACATAGTCGAAAGATGTGTTATATGGGTCATCGATCTTTTTGGATTCAAATCATAGTTGGAGATCAAATTCAAGTTCTTTTGATGGAAAGCCAGAATATAGATCTGCACCCTCCTTGTTAGATTCAACAATGATTTTAAAAGACTTAGAAAAGATCCCTGATGTAGTAGGGAAAAAATATCTGAAAAAAAGGCCTGGTTCATGGAAGAAAAAGTCTATCTTTTAGCAATTACCATATTGGAAGGATAATTCTTTGCGACATAATGTAGATGGTATGCATGCAGAAAAGAACATTTGTGATAATATAATGGGTACTCTCTTGGAGATTAAACGGAAGTAAAAGGATCATGCAAAAGCTCGTTTGGACCTACAACACATGGGGATTAGAAAAAAAAAACTCCATTTGAAGGCAACGAGTGATGGTAAGAAAACCCAAATCCCTAAGGCATGTTTCTCCATAACAAAGCAAGAGAAATCTATTTTTTTTTGTAATGTTTTAAAGACAGTAAAACTTCCTGATGGCCTTGCATCTAATATTTCTCGATGTGTTCAAGTTAATGAAGGAAAAGTTTCTGGATACAAGAGTCATGATGCTCATATTATATTGCATTACTTGTTTCAAGTAGCAATAAAAGGGATAACCTCTAATCAAGTTGTTATCCCTTTGCTCCGACTTTGTTCATTTTTCGGTGTTTATGCCAGAAGGTTATAGATGTGAAAACTTTGGTTACTTGGAAGTTGAAATTGCTGAAACACTTTGCCAATTCGAGCGTATCTTCCCTCCAAGTTTCTTTGACATAATGGTTCACTTGCCAATTCACCTTGCAAATGAAGTCATATTAGGTGGACCAGTTCAATTTCGACGGATGTATTATATGGAAAGACATTTGGGTGATTTAAAATCTTTTGTTCGTAATAGGAGTCGTCTAGAGGTTCTATCGCTGAGGTATACTTGGTTAAAGAATCTCTAACATTTTGTTCAAGATATTTGTCTAGTGCTGTAGACACAAGGATGAATAGAATGACACAAAATAGCAATGATACTCCAAGCATAGGTCATCCAATTGGGGGAAACAAACTGATTTCCCTTGATAATAAGTCTCTAAACCAAGCTCACGGGTACATTTTATTCAATTGTGATGAAGTGCAAGAATACATTAGGTATAATCATCTATTTGATACAACATTTCATTTTGCAATAAGTTTTCTTTTTCTTTTGTATTGAAAAATTAGTTAGTTATTTTGTAGAGAGCATGAGGTTAATGTTCATAATCTTAAAAAAAAAGGAAGCCCAGAAAAGTTAACAATCAAAGAGAATATTTTATTCAATGGTTTAAAACACGTGTCATAGAAGAGGAAGTTACCGAATGGTTGAAGGTGTTGTCTAGGGGACCAAATGATGTTGTTAGAAGGTATTTTGGTTATGTTATTAATGGATATAGGTTTCATACATTAAACCGCGAAGCAAGGCTTAAAACACAAAATAGTGGTGTGACATTAGAAGTCGTGACTCAAGTTATTAGAAATGCAAAGGATGAAAATCCCAAAAAGATTTGTGTGACTTACTATGGGGCAGTAAAAGATATTATAGAGTTAGATTATTATGGTCATGAAAAATATGTATTGTTCAAATGTGATTGGTTTATGGATGAAAAGGATAAATATGGATCGCCGTTCATTTACTTCAACAAAAAATGCTACAAAAAAAATGATCCATTTATGTTGGCATCTCAAGTTCAACAATGCTTCTTTATTGAAGATCCTTTAAACAAGAACAAACACTATGTTCTAAATGCACTTCCAAGGGAATCGTTTGACATGGGAGAATGTTTGGGTTCAGATGCCCAAGAATATGATATTTCAACAAATCTTGATACATTAAAGGATGATTGTGAAGTGGATTTGGTTAGGAAAGACGTGTCGGATGATATCTTTGAAATTTCTTTGTCAGAACTTCACAACCAAAAATCAATAGAGAATGATCATAATGACACAAGTTATGAAAGTGACGATGAAATCGATTATGATTCTAGTACTGATTAGGTAATGTTCAAAACGTGTTCTACCATTTTGTTGATGAATATTGTTTATTATGTCTTTCTATGGTCTTAGTTTATATCATACTTTACAAATATTTGTACTAAGATATGCCCTTTTGTTAATACATTGTGTTGGAACATTAATTGTGTTGTATAATTATGTAACTTTCCCCCTTTGTAGTTCATAGTTGCTGGCCATAATGGACAATGTAAGAAGTGTAAAAGATGGTGTATCGCATAGGAAGAGTGGTCGAAGTCCAACTAAAAGATTTGATTTTCATCTTCTAGCAAGATCAAGTGCAAAATTGAAAAAGAAAGTGCTAAAGCAAGTTAAGAAGGAAAAAATTGACAAGTTGCATGAGATGCTGCAGGGAAACAATAGAGAAAGGGTCCAGGAAGTTGTAGAAGTTATGGATGGTAAATCATTTTCTTGTTTCATAAGATTTTATAGAATTGCGTATGTAAAATTTATGTTTTGGATTTCCTTTAGATATATTATTCCTAATGTTTTTTTAATGAATTTTTACAAAAATTAGAAACGCCAAAAAAAGGAACTCAACAAGAAAGAGTTTAAAAGAATGATTGCAATTTCGACAAAGAGACAATTACAAAGAAAATGGAGAGAGACAAACTCTCGCAACCAAAAGTAATGAAAGATCATGCACATGGTAACAAAGAAGTTGTACAAGGTAAGTAATTGTTTATTATGTATATATTACGTTAAATTATTTCAAATATATTTTGATGAATTTTAACTAAAATTAGAAACACCAAAGAAAAGAACTCATGAAAAAGATACAATAAATAGAGAAAGAGTTCAAAAGTTTGATAGCAAATTGGACAACCACATTGCTATAAAGAAAACAGAGAGACCTAAGCGTTTGCAACCTCAAGCTAAGGAAGTTTTTAGACATGGAAACAAAGAAGTTTCACAAGGTAATTAATATCTTTACATATACATTAAATTTATATATTCTTCTTATGACATTATTTTGATGAGAAAATTACATTAAAATCAGGAATGCTAAAAAAAAGAACTCATGAGAATCTACTAGAGAATAATATAGAAAAAATTCAGAAGGTGGAAAAAACAGTTGCAAGGAAAATACTTATTCCTTCCAAAAATAAGAAACTAGAGAAATCTAATCTATCTTTGGAGACAATGATGTCAAAAACTGAATGCTCTAAAAAGGAAAAGAGAGTGCCAAAATGTCCATCAATGTTGATTGATGATTATGTAGAACTTCACAAGTCAAAGAAATGGATGCAACCAAGTCAAATAATGGATAAAAACTGGGCTGCAACGTTAACCCAATCTCTAGTCAAAATCAACCAAAAAAAGAAAATCAACAAGAAAGTGTTCAAAATTGGGCAGAAGTCAATGAAGAAGAGGCAAACACAAATAGAGAAGAAGAAAAAGGTAATTAGTTTCATATTTCTTAGTAATTATTTCATACATTATTTACATATTGGTAGCAAACATGTGATATCATGTTGTTGTGTTGATTACTTTATAGGAACATCCCAAAGAAAAACTCGTGGGAAAACTTTGTGCAAAAAGATTCATGCAAGAACTTTGGAAGAACGAGCAGAAGTAACCTTTAATATATGAGGATGGTCAACCAATTGGTCCTAGTGATAAAGTAGTATCTGATTTGAGCCTCTTCTTGGGAACATTGGCTAGGAACTCAACATGTTGTCCTCTACGTTACACCAATTGGTCAGAAATGCCAGATGATAATAAAAAACATTTCTGGAGGTATACTAATGTATGTGTGTATATATGAATTTGAATGTCTAATTGTTCAAAAAATGTTTTATTTTTTGATCTTGTTTTATCTTATAAGTTTTGTAGAGGAAGTTTATCTTGTCGATTAAAGCACAAGATTGGGTTGAGACCACTGTTAGAGATGCATGGAGAAGATATAAGCACAAAATTAAGAAGAATCATTTTTGAAGTATTCGTACATGTTTGAGAGACTCAAAAATTGTCCACTAAAGGTGCCTATAGCTTAGTTTAAAAGTCTTTGTGATTATTGGAGTAAGGAAGCTATACAAGTAAGATTAATAATTTTTTTATGTATGTGTGTGATTTTTCACCTTTCTATGTATGCCATAATCTAGTAAGATTTATTAAAATAATTTTGTCAAATTTAAATGTAGGCAATCAGTGAAACTAACACTAGAAATAGAGCTCAACTAAAGTGGATGCATCGAATGGGTCCCAAAAACTTTGCTTTAACTCGTGAAAAAATGATAACTTTCTTTCGTTCTCAATAAAGTATTCCTTGTATGAATGATTGTTTGCTCAATTAAACTATTCCTTGGATGAATGGTTCTCTGAGAATTTTAATTTATGTCTTGTTTCTGTAATAAGATATTTAATCCACTGGTTGTTTAGTTATGGAATTACTTTAATTTCTGCAGTGTGAAAAGGAAAAAAGAGAGTCTACTCAATCAGAAATGTTTGTTGAAACTCGAAAAGGAAATAAAGGAAAGGAGCTGGTTGTAGAAATTGGAAAAGTAACTGTATGTAACATTATTTATATAGTATGTTTACTTAATATAGTCGACTTATATTGTCTATAATAGTAGTTAATATTTTCATGCAATTTATGCTAGTCCCAACTTCAAGAAATGGTTGAAAAGGAGGAAAGTGATACAGAAGCTTTTAAATCTGTTTTTGGAAAGGAGCATCCCGGTAGGGTACGTTGTTATGGGAGAAACATAACTAAAACTTCCTTAAAGCGAAAGGCGGAGATTAATGCTCTGAAACAAGCATACAATGAAGAGGTCTCTACATTAAGGCATGAGTTTCAAGATCAGATTGATAGATTACAAAACATTTTTAAGACCGTAATACAACAATGCAATCCTCAAATTAATTTGGAGTCAATAGAAGATTTGTTAGGATTATCTCATAGAGATGCTAACAGTTTCCCAAAAGAAATGAGACCGCAAATTCATTCCTCTATATCAACTCATGCTCCATGTCATGGAAAGGTAACCATATATACCAATATTATTGATTTATGTTATTCTAATTGTGTTATACTATCTAAATTCTATGGTTTAATAGTATCAAAAATATTATATAAAATTCTTTTTTATAATTAAAATACTATATAAATTCTATTGTTTATAAAAATTAGAATTTGTGCCAACAAAAAATAAATTCTACAATGTACATGACTTATACTATTGACTTATTGTCGCAACAGCGAAAATACCTGACGAAAAAACAAAAGAGTCGCCACCATTCGTTATTTATCCCAAAGAAAGGGAAAGGAAACGATAAGAGAAAACCTACGAAAAAGGAAAAAGATAAGGTCATCGCAACCAAATCTTGGGTTCGGGAGTCGGCTATGCAAGGGGAAGGTATGAGCACCCCTTACGTCCGTCGTACTCGACAGGATCTATGCTTGTTATCTATCTAAAGGGTGTTAATCTATCTAAGCTACAGGCTCACAGGACAAAAGAAAAGAAAAGAGACTCGATAGAGCATCGCCGCTCTATGGCTACGTACTCCCTCGTGCAATGGGAAAGTCAAAGTCAACGTAGTTCGGAAAACTACGGGTGAAGGTGGGGGGAAGGTTGCTTGCCAAGACATCGCCGTCTTGTGCCTACATATCCTCGTCTGGTATAAGAAATCAGAGCAAACATAGTTCGGGCTGACACGACCACAAATTGGTTAAGTGTTTTAATCGAGTAGGGTTAAACCTTCTTTCTAGCAGTTAGGGATGATGCCTATTTACGGTAGAACCAAGAGTTAACAACACTATTTCTGAAAATGGTTTTCAATTAATCCTGAAGGATAAAAAGGTTTGAGGTTTTGTTTGTGTTTTTTTAGTGAAGTGAGTTAGTTAGATTTGTGATTCCTGTTGCACTAAAGACTATGACATAAGAGCGAATGCGTCACATATCGCCCCCAAACGGGACGTACACTAAACACTATAAACAAGCGAGAGGAGACCCCTCACTCATCATTTCCGATGTGCTTAAGGCTCGTAGCGTACAACATTCGTCATATTTATTAGATGAATTAAAATGTGTTTTGAGATGAGAATAAAGATGCACAAAAGGTCTAAGGGAAACTCGGCCTTAATGTTGTCATGCAAAATGGACCTAAAGTTGGGATTAAAAGGGGGAAATCTACCCTAATGTTAGCATGCTTGGATTGAAAGCCTAATGTCTCTCCTACTCCCATCCTAAACGGAGGGACTAGGAATCCTAAGGGATCATGGCAAAAGACAAAAAAAACACAAAGCAATTCAATCACAAATAGAAAGAAATAAAGATGAAATGCAAACATGAAATGCCACCTTCAATCACCAAAGAAAAGTGGGAGAAAAAAGTGTGGGACAACAGCCACCACAAGCACATCTCAACCAAGCAATGCAAGCAAAAGACACATGCACTCATCATTTTGAACAACATCCATGAAAGTATGCATTCAAGCGGAAATCGAACACCCGTGTCGAAGAAATCATGATTGAACAATTAAGAACAACAACACAATATCCAAAACATCTCACTCAAATGCATCAAGCTGATCCATGAAGATTTAAAGTGAAATGATACTAAAACAAGCTTGAAAAACAACAAATAACGTATTCTGGTTCAGTGTTAATCAATTAACACATATGGTTAACCGATTAACCAGTTAAAAATGTTTGAAAATTTGAAAATTCGCACTGGTTAATCGATTAACCAGTTTGCACTGCAACTGGTTGACCGATTAACACTGTACCAGAAGCAAAAAAACAGAAATTCAAAAGCACTTTCAACAATTAATCACTTCTCCAATAATCCGGATGATTATATAATCAACTATGCACGAAATTAACACCAGAAAACAATGATCCAACAATATGTAAACATATTAAAACAACAAGATCTCAAATCACATGAATCAAAATTAAAAAAAAAAAATCAATCAAAAATGAAGATCAACATAATGATTACGCAAATAAGCTTAAAAACAGAATCGGATCTAGAATTTCCAACCTACAAAGCGGAGATTTGCTTTGGTAAATGTTGATTATTCAACTTCAATTGAGCAGATCTAAGCAAGAAACCCAGAGATTCTTCAATATCCAAGTGATTTATTGTTGTAGAAGTGAAGATCCACCATTATTAAGCAAAAACGATCTGAATAAGCTCTTCTAGATCAACTTCCAAGTTCAGATCCACACTAGCACGAAAATTGAATGGAGAAATGGAGATGATAAGGATGAACGATGAAGGTTTAGCTCTAGAATTCAATGATTCCAATGGAGAATGAAAGAATTCAAGGTGAGAGCTCTAATGGAGGTTTTGGAGATGGAGAAGTTGAGAGTAAAATTTAAGAGTGTATGAATTCTGAAAAATGAAATGGAATTATTAGGATTTTGTGTGTGAGGTTTGAAGCAAATCATTTAAATATGCTCTTCGTTAAGATCCAAATGTGGTTTGGAGTGTGGTTTGTGAAAATTGGAATGGGATTAGGAATGGGAATTTGGAGGGAATGTGAATTAATTTAAAAACTAATCAAAATTCAAAGTGGTTCTAGATCCTTCTTCTGGTGTAAAATCA